CAGAATCAGTTGCCCAAGGAACCCCATCTGTGACACTGATTACTCCCATATTTCTTAAAGTTCAAGATACAGAGTTAAAACAAGACCAAAGACACAGAAATAAAGTCCCCATCCCATCTCTGAATCTCCAGAGATCATCCAGTAAAAAGATCCCGGGGCGGGGGAGTGGGCGGGAGACTTGCTCAGTTAATGTGATTAAACTCAATACTGGTTTGGCCTGTTGGGCCCAATGCAGGTGCCCAGTCCAAATTCATGGCTTCCCACAATTGTATTTTAACACTTCCAACAAGCATTAGTCAAAATGCTTACAAGAGACAGGACAGCCATTAGGGCAGCAGTTAAAATGCCACACTTAGTGCCTGGGTTTGAGTCCTGGTTCCACCGCCTAGCCCAGCTTCCTGCTAATGCACACCCTGGGAGGCAGCAGTGATGGTTCAAGTAATTGGATTCCTGTTACCTACACAGGAGACCTAGACTGTGCTGAAGGCTCCCCCTGTCTCTGCCTCTCATACTGAAGAAAAAAAAAAAGCTTACAAGAGGAAAGCTGATTGGGATAGAAACTCTTCTCTGTTGGCTAGAAAGCTGCTGGTTAGACCAACTGAAACTTGCCAATACCCTCGCCTCTCCAGCCTTAAAATTTTAAAAAGACAGCATTTCTTTCATGAAGGCCCCAGTATGACACTCGTTACTTACAAAACCTTCACCCCTAATAACCTTGCTGTTTTTATCTCTTTCTCTTTCCCATGATGTACTTATCCTCTAACCAACCATAAGTAGAAATTATATTTCCATTAGCCTAAATATTAATAGCCAAGCAACACATCTGCACTAAAATATTTTTTTAAAACATCATCCAATGTTTTAATCACGACTTGGTATAGTGTGTACAGTAGTGGTGTGCCCAGCTGGCAATCTAACAGTGGCATAAACTAAGCAATACAAATGAGGTAGTGCAAGCTACAAGGAATTAGTTTCCTGACAAGACAAAAATTGTAGCGAATTTTATGTTTTGGCAGATGACAGCTATTGTAAAGTATTAGATCCAATCATGCCTGCTACCTCTCAAAACCCAATTGGATCATCATTCTCTTGCAGATTTACGATACTCGAAACTTCAGAAGTGACATTTCAACAGGCATCAAAGTACAGGCCTTGGATATTCTGGTAAACAATCTACTTCCATAACTGCTTTTTCCTGAACATACTCTACTTCTCCCCAGCCCTGCCAGGAAATTTTCTCTAGCTAATCAATGCCATAAGCTCTTCTTAAAAGTCACCTTCCCAATGAAATCTTTCCTATTCTGGCCAGACATTAGTTTCTTTTTTTTTTTTTTTTGACAGGCAGAGTGGACAGTGAGAGAGAGACAGAGAGAAAGGTCTTCCTTTTGCCGTTGGTTCACCCTCCAATGGCCGCCACGCTGTGACCGGCGCACCACGCTGATCCAATGGCAGGAGCCAGGTACTTATCCTGGTCTCCCATGGGGTGCAGGGCCCAAGTACTTGGGCCATCCTCCACTGCACTCCCGGGCCATAGCAGAGAGCTGGCCTGGAAAAGGGGCAACCGGGACAGAATCTGGCGCCCCAACCGGGACTAGAACCCGGTGTGCCGGCGCCACTAGGTGGAGGATTAGCCTATTGAGCCGCAGCGCCGGCGATGTAGTATTGGCTTAAAGAAGTCCGCCTCTCAGGCATTCAAACAGATCTGAAAGTTTGCCATGAAGGAGAAGGGGACTCCAGATGTACATGAACAATGATACCAGCCTCAACAAAGCTGTCTGGGCCAAAGGAATAAGGACTGACCCATCCGGCCACCACATGAGACTGTCCAGGAAATGTAATGAGAATGAACATTCACTGGACAAGCATCATCACTTTCCAAAATCTACAGTCAATGTAGATGAGAACTGCTGACTAAAGTTATAAAACTGGGGAAAAAATGAGAGAGAGAGATCACACTGAACACTAACCCTATTACAAATAAAATAAGTTCATACATCTGACAGGGGTATAAATCAAACCCCACTGTCTACTGGGACTCCTTTAACTGGAACAGAAATAAAAGATGTCAAATAAAGGGAGAACATGGATAGAGTTTAGAATAGAAAGTATTTGCTACCAATTTTCTTTTCTTTTCTTTTTTTTTAAAGATTTATTCATTTGAAAGGCATAGGTAGAGGCAGAGAGAGATCCTCCATCCACTGGTTCACCTCCCAGGTGGCCACAACGGCCAGAGCTGTGCCAATCTGAGGCCAGGAGCCAAGAGCTTCCTCCGGGTCTCCCACAGGGGCACAGGAGCCCAAGGACTTGGGCCATCCTCTATTGCTTTTCCAGGCCATAGCAGAGAGCTGGATCAGAAGTGGAGCAGCCAGGACTCAAACCAGTGCCCATATGGGATGCCTGCACTGCAGGCAGCGGCTTTACCCACTACACCACAGCGCCAGCCTCTTGTTAGCAATTTTCAACTTTCCTTGGACATAAAGTTGTCAGAAGACAAGAACAAGAGAAAATATTCTAACATATCCCCTTCACATCCTGAAAAGATGTACTCGCAAGTCTGTTCATTTCTTTGACACACAAGATTAGAAAAAGTAGTCAGCACATACCTACAATCCAGCGACAATTTTCTAATTTTGACTCTGGTTACTCTCCTCTCTAATTCATACTGCACACTGTCGAGCTTTGTTTTTTTTGAAAGAATCTGGCATCCCTGTATTACTCAAAACCTTCCTAACCTCCCACAGGTAGGACAATCCCATTTCACAGTGACAATATGTATATATAGTCCCAACCTTTACAGAGACCCTCCGCTCTAGGGGCTCCACTTTCCAGAACACACCATGTGACTAGCTGCATTTCAGTCCGTTCCACAGAAATCTGTTCCACCCGCAATGGTACAGTATCTCCCTACATCCAAATTCTGTGTGGCGAACGCTCACTAGGCATTTACTATGCTCCAAGTACAAATACACCATCTCAAGTCTCCCTTTAGTCTGCAAGGGAGATCTCCTTAATGGGCCTCGTCTATTTAAGTAGGAGTGAGAAAGACTACGCTCGCCACCCTTTTGGATCACACTGACATAGCTGGAGGTAAGTCAAATAGCGCCACAGACCAAGGCTAGGATGAAAGAATGAGATGGGATATCATACATGTCTTCATGACATACATGAGTGATTACCATGTGTCAAACACTGTTCTGGGTGGGATGGGCAAAGACCCTGTTCTGATGGAACGTTCTATGATGTGATATGTGTGTGCTCTAGCTAAGGATAAAGAGGTAACCGACAACGAACACATGAACATATATAGCATCACTTAAAACCGTGGACAAGTGCCTTGAAGAATATAATACAAGTTTGATGTGCAAAGTGGACAAGAAGAACCTCTTAGATTCAAGTGATAAGAACTCATCCATGTGACATAAGAATCAAATAAAGCATTAAGAAACCAAAGGTCTCTATTTTTAAATTTGAGGTATCAAGGGGCCAGCGCTGTGGCGTAGTGGGTAAAGAAATAAATCTTTTAAAAAATAAAATAAATTTGAGGTATCGGGGCTGGCACTGTGGTGTAGTGGTTAAAGACGCTGGCCGCCTGCAGTGCTGGCATCCCATATGGGCACCGGTTCGAGACCCAGCTGCTCCACTTCCGATCCAGCTCTCTGCTGTGGCCTGGAAAAGCAGTACAAGATGGCCCAAGACCTTGGGAGACCCAAGGTCTGCACCCACGTGGGAGACCTGGAAGAGGCTTCGGCCTCTGGCTTCGGATCGGTGCAACTCTTGCCGTTGTGGCCATCTAAGGAGTGAACCAGCGGATGGAAGACCTCTCTCTCTGTCTGCCTCTGCTTCTCTGTAACTCTGCCTTTCAAATAAACAAATAAATCTTAAAAAAAAAATCTGAAGTACCAAGACTTTCTCTTTTTTTCTGTTTTTCTTTGTGTGTGTGTGTGTGTGTTTAAGATTTATTTTATTTACTTGAAAGACAGAGTTACAGATCAGAAGAGGAGCAGCCGGGACTCAAACCGGAGCCCATATGGGATGCTGGCGCTTCAAGCCAGGGCTTTAACCCGCTGCACCACAGCGCCGGCCCCCACAAACACATTTCGAACTCTCCTAATATGAAAAAGTAAAACAGGGGCCGTCGTCCTGGTACAGCAGTTCAAGCCACTGCCCGGTGCTCCAGCATCCCATATGAGCCCAGCTGGAGTCCCGACTGCTCCACTCTAGATGCAGCTCCCTGTTAATGTGCATGGGAAAGCAGTGTAAGATGGCCCAAGTGTTTGGGGCCCTGCCACCCACGGAGGAGACCCAAATGTTGTTCCAGGATCCTGCCTTTAGCCTGGCCCAGTCCAGGCCAGTGAAGCCATTTGAGGGAGTCAACCAGTGGCTGGAAGATCTCTTTCACCCTCCCTCTCTGTAACTCCGCCTTTCAAATAAATAAAATAAACCCAAGAGGAAAGAAAAGAAAAACACAAGTAGTGCTCACTAATACTATCCAAAAGTGTCTTTACATAAAGCAATTCCAGGTCAGTTTCACAAGACTCACTAAAGTACAGACCAAAGGCTTCCCCTCTTGAGTTCCTAAGTCGCGGCAACTTTAGGAGTTCCCTTAAGGGCTGTCAAACTACGAGAACACCTTAAGGATGTGCAGGGATCACTTCTACTTTCTGGCTCAGGAAATACACAGACCGCAAATACTCAACCACTGCCTCGCGACTAGAATCAATTTCACCTAGAGAAAAGTGCAAGGAATCCCTCCATCTGGGGAAAACATCAAGACAGGGCTCCAGGATAAGCCAGGTCACGCTAGTTAATGGGTTGAAAGACACTTTGCACTCCTAAGTTAATTCCTACACCTGTAAAAGGTACAACGACCCGCGCCTCTCAAAATAGTTGAGCTCTAACGAGATGGCCCCAGAACTTTACAAAGGCGCACGGAGCGCGACAGTCTCAAATTACTTATTTCTGCCCAGGCGGAGGGCGGGCAGGAGGCTCGCGAACCTTACCTTAACCAGCCACACACCGGTGTTCTGTTTGGCGCCGGTCAGATCAAGTTCCCCGCGCTCGGCCATGAGTCCGTTGCGGGTGGAAGCGTGTGAGCCGGAGCAGAGGCCTCGGGAGCTTGCGTGCTGTGGTGCGAGTGTCCCAGCCAAAAAGCTAGCCGCGGTGAAAGGTGCACTGCCAGGAGCCCGCGCGGACCACCTGCCAGGAAACTAGGAAACCTGGAACTGAGGAACACGCCGCCGGGAAGCGGGAAGTACGCCTGCGCACTGTATCCTAGTACGGCGCGCCGCTGTGAACAAACTTCCCCAGCTCGGAAGGTGGGCCCTCCGTGGATGGGCGTGGCTACTGGCGTTAACTGCATCTAAATGGTCAACGCTAAGGGCCCCTCCTAGTGTGGGCGTGGCTACCGGCGTTAACCGCATCCAAGTGATCCTATCTAAGGGCGCTTCCTCAGATGGGCGTGGCTACCTGCGTTAACCGCACCTAAGTGATCCTAAGGGCTCTTCCACGGATGGGCGTGGCTACCGGCGTTAACCACATCTAGGTCATCAAATCTAAGGACTCTTCCTCAGATGGGCGTGGCCACTGCGTTAACCGCATCTAAGTGATCCTATCTAAGGGCCTCCTTGGGTGGGCGTGGTTACCGGCGATAAACACAGCTAAACGATCAAATCTAAGGATCCCTCCTTGAATGGGCGTGGCTACTGGCGTTAACTGCATCTAGGTGAATAAAGCTTTTTAAAATTTATTTTAGGAGCCAGCTCTGTGGCATAGCGGATAAAGCCACTGCCTGCAGTGCCAGCATCCCATATGGATGCCAGTTCAAGTCCCAGCTGCTCCATTTCCGATCCAGCTGTCTGCAGTGGCCTGGGAAAGCAGAAGATGGCCAAGTCCTTGGGCCCCTGCACCCGCTTGGAAGACTGAGAAACAGTTCCTGGCTTCTAGCTTCGGATTGGCGCAGCTCCGGCTTTTGCGGCCAAATGGGGAGCGAACCAGCGGATGAAAGACCTCTCTCTCTGCCTCTGCCTCTCTGTAACTTTGCCATAAAAATTAAAAATTAAAAAAAAAAAAACCGCCTCCACGTGAAGGCGCCATGAAATTCCCAAAAAGCCTCGGGCAGCAAAACTGCACTCTAGCCACACCTCTATCTCATAATAGAGGCTGGTAACTTGGGAGGGCTCTTTTTGCCCTTGACCATGCTTGAGGCTTCCCCAGACTCCCCCACCCCCTCTCTTCAGAGTTGATTCTCTGGCTTACTCATGATGTGTGGAGTGGCCCACACTCAGTGTTTTCTCTCCTAAATAAACTCTTTTCTCTTTCGATGTATGCATGCCTCTGCTTTGAATCGTATGTCTGGGAGAATAAAAATTAATATGCCTAGGTCCATAACAATTTCAGAGTCTTTGCACACTCAATTCCTTTCCTTAGATGTCCTATTTTCCCCTTACCCTCCCTCTCACCCCTGTCCTCTGGTTGGTAAGTGCCTGCCTATGTTTCAAGACTAACGGAAATGTCACTTCCTGTTTTAAGAAGTTAGATGGACTAATAGGCAGATGGGGTCCCTCTCAGCATGAGAAAGGGGGCACAGTCCCTTTAAGAGTGGACAAAGTGCTTCTGCCCAAAGGCTGCCTTTAGCAACACTTAGCTTTATCATGAGAATAGGCTACACAAAATTACCAATTCCAGCCCTCTGCTGAGTTTTTAATCCCTTCCTCTGATTGGTTGTTATTCCAACCCTCTGATTGGTTGTTATTCCAGCCTCTTGACTGTTATTCTAGCCCTCTGATTGTTAGCTGTTTATTCTACTCCTCTCCTGATTTAAATCTATGTGGCCGCTTTTGTGTATAAAAGAGCTAGTACCCACAAGTTTCCCTGGCAACTCCTCCGTTGGAGTGTCCCTCCTGACTGCTGCCGCAAGAGGTGTCTCACTTCAATAAATCTTGCTTTGCATTCTGTCCGTGTGGAAATCCTTAAGCATGAGAGAAGAACCAAGATTGCCTTCATCATCTTGTAACACTATGAGACCCTAGATCAACCCTCCCAGCCAGGAAGTTCATTTTTTTTCACATCACAGTCTGTAATCTCTGACACACTGTGCAGTAACAAACATGTTTACATGTCTCCTTTGTTTTTTAGACTATGAACTCCTCCTAGGCAAAAATAGCCCTTTCCCCCCAGCTTTATTGAGGTATTGTTGACAAATAAAAAATAGTGTTTTATTTTATATCAACATCTCACACAGTGTTTTAAACACTGTCAGGTTTCTGTAGGCTTTTGTTCAATGAACATTTGTTGACAAACAGTAAGGCATTATAAGAATAGCAAGGAATATTGTTGGCTCACAGATGATAGCCATGTAAAAAATTAAAGAAATTTGACATCCACACAGCCTAGGATCAGGAAAAGCTATCAGGTCCAGGAGTTCATGTGGCAAAACTAATAGGAAAGATAAGAGAGACCAGGCATATATTGAAAACAAATGTTGCATTCTAGTGTAATAGTTTGGGGAAAGGCCTAAAACATTTAAAGGAAAAATAAAGGGAATTGCTTTAAGCTTTAAACTTTGATCAAGTAGAAGGAACAAACTGAAATACATGACATGAGTGAAGGGAAGGGAAGCAGCCTGGGAAATCTTAGAAATGGACTTGAGAGTAACAGATTAGAACCTTGGCCTTGACCTTTGGGTCATGGGAGGCCTTAAAGTTTGTGTGTGTGTGTGTGTGTGTGTAAATATGGGTGGACAAGGGTGTGTTTACAGAGATTAGGAGACAATAAAATCTGAAAAAAAGGCTAGAGGGGCCAACACTGTGGTGTAGCAAATAAAGCCGCTACCTGCAGTGCCGGCATCCCATGTAGGCACCAGTACAAGTTCCAGCTGCTCCACTTCTGATCCAGCTCTCTGCTATAGCCCTGGAAAGCAATAGAAGATGGTCCAGGCCCTTGGGACCCTGTACCCATGTGGGAGACCCAGAAGAAGCTCCTGGTTCCTGGCTTCAGATCGGCGCAGCTCCGGCCATTGCAGCCATCTGGGGAGTGGACCAGCAGATGGAGGATATCTCTCTCTCTCTCTCTCTCTCCTCTCCCCCTCTCTGTAGCTTTGCCTTTCAAATAAATAAATAAATCTTTTGAGAGAGAGAGAGGTAGAGAAGACCAAGAAGATGGGAAAAGTAAAGATCTTTAAATGATTATACGGGGACAAAGGGGGTGAACACCAACGATTTACTGAGCACTTCTTCCTCATACACCACTAAACAAAGAACAAGGTCCTGCTCTCTGTCCTGTCCAAACTTCCTTCCAGCTCAAGAGTGATATTTACAGAGCCATGAGAGAAAAAGAGGACCTGCGTTCTGCGAACCAAATTCACAGACTTACTGCAGAGACCCCACAGGGTGACAGTTCAGCCAAATGCCTCACCTCTCTCTCTCTCTCTCTCTCTCTGTCATTCTCCACATAAAATATGTTTTTTAAAAAATCAAAATGTCCAAAGGTACATCTAGAAAATGACATTTTAGCGAGCCCTCTCTCCCCCCTGGTTATTTCTTAGGCACAGCAAAATCTGAGAACCATTGGTCTAATCGCATAACAGTAAATTTCTTAGAACTGGCCAGTTTCAGGCCGGCGCTGCGGCTCACTAGGCTAATCCTCCACCTTGCAGCGCCGGCACACCGAGTTCTAGTCCCGGTCGGGGCGCCGGGTTCTGTCCCGGTTGCCCCTCTTCCAGGCCAGCTCTCTGCTGTGGCCAGGGAGTGCAGTGGAGGGTGGCCCAAGTGCTTGGGCCCTGCACCCCATGGGAGACAAGGATAAGTACCTGCCTCCTGCCATCGGATCAGCGTGGTGCGCCGGCTGCAGTGTGCCGGCCGTGGTGGCCATTGGAGGGTGAACCAATGGCAAAGGAAGACCTTTCTTTCTGTTTCTCTCTCTCTCACTGTCCACTCTGCCTGTAAAAAAAAAAAAAATGATTAAAAAAAAAAGAAAAGAACTGGGCCAGTTTCCCAGGTCTCAGGCTCTAGAGAAAGTTTAACACTCTTCTCTTTGTCAGCTGTCTGCTGCTGAATGTCCCCGTGCCTTGTAAAGTCACAATACCACAGTTCTATCAGACATCCAGTAGAATACCAGCAGCAACACTATTAGAGGAGCTATTACAGGTGAGTCAGATAGAGATAGTGATAGTTAGAGAGAAGGAAAGACATGGAGAAAGATCTTCCATCCACTGATTCACTCCCCAAAAAGACCACAACAGCCAGTGTTTGACTGGGCAGAAGCCAGAAACCAAGAACTTCATCCAGGTCTCCCATGTGGGTGGCAGAGGTACAAACATTTGGGCCATTTTCTGCTGTTTTCCAAGGTGCATTAACAGGGAGCTGAATCAGAAGTGGAGCAGCCAGGACTCAAACCAAGGCTTCTATGGGATGCTGGCTTTGCAGGTGGCAGCTTAGCCCACTGCAACACAACGCCAGCCACGTGGGTAGATAATTTTGCTTCAATATCACTCCAAGGCCATAAGATCCCTCCTCTGAATTCTCCCTGCCTTTCCCTTCAACTCTCAGTTCTCTCTTTCACAGTATTCCCAACTCTGGGAGACTCCTTGCTTCTCCAGTTATACACAAATGAAAAAGGAATTCTCCCTAAAATAGTTCCAGTATTAGTTAGGGTAAAGATTATGAGCTCTGGAGTTGAAAATGTTTTCAAGTCATAGCTCCACAGTACGCCAGCCTAATTATGTTAAGTTCCCTTTACCTGCTTCCTGACTTAAACAATGGGATTATTATTCCCACCTCAAAGATTTATTATGTCATTAAATGAGAAAAAGTATCAAAAGAATTTAGCACTCTGATGTGAAAATTATTTGGTAACTGCACTACTTACAATGAAAATAATCATATTATTATTAACTGGCATAATTAAATAAATTAATCATATTAATTATTTTGTCAAATCATTGAAAGGAAGCACAAAATTTTATTCGAGACAGTGGTATGCTGAAAACTGTTTAGCAATTGACTTTCCCAGTCCCCTTTCCAAAAGAAGCCCTGATTTGTAGTGTTTGCCAATTTCTGTGGTGTAAATCCTCTCACCCTTGCCGATTTCAAGCTACCAAGAAAGCATCCCTGAATGCAAGGTGGGAAGATACATGCTGTACATTGTATGGTATGTACACTCCGCAGTGTTCTCCATTATCTATACATAGTATGGTATTGTACAATACAGTGAGACCTTGTAAAGTATTTTCTTTTTCTAATGATTTATTTATTTATTTGAAAGTCAGAGTTACACAGAGAGAAGGAGAGACATAGAGACAGAGAAAAAGAGAGAGAGAGAGAGAGAGAGAGAGAGAGAGAGAGACGTCTTCCATCTGATGGTTCACTCCCCAGTTGGCCACAATGTCCGGAGCTGTAACCAACCGAAGCCAGGAGCTTCCTCCAGGTTTCCCACACAGGTGCAAGATCTTGGGTCGTCTTCTACTGCCATACTTCCCAGGCCATAGCAGAGAGCTAGATGGGAAGTGGAGCAGCCAAACTCGGACCGGTGCCCATATGGGATGCCAGCAGGGCAGGCAGCGGCTTTACCTACTGCCCCAGCAGATAATTCTTTTATTTGCTGATTTCATTCCCTTGGGTAAATTTCCAAAAGTGGGATGGCTGGGTCATATGGTAGATCTATATTCAGATTTCTGAGGCATCTCCAAACTGATTTCCATAGTGGCTTTACCTTTACATTCCCACCAACAGTGGAGTAGGGTACCTTTCCCTCCACATCCTCACCAGCATTTGCTGTTTGTTGATTTCTGTATGAGAGCCACCCTAACTGGGGTGAGGTAAAACCTCACTGTTTTTTTTGACTTGGCAGCAATATATTTGTATTATCTTTATGAGTAATAGAATTAATTTCACCATAGTGTTCTGGTGGAAGGTAGTAGCAAGCTCAGACTGCAGGGTGGGAGACCTTCCATACAGGTGTCTGTAGAACAGAGAGGATGCCAATGGACAGGCATGCCTACAGGACAGCACCACTGGCTAGAAGAGGAGAGGCCAGCGATGAAAGACCTTGTTCAGAGCACATGCAAGTCAAAGGA